GTCAGTCGTTTCCCATCATGCTTTTGGTCAGCGCAGTCGGTGGAGAGCAACTGCGCTCGACTGCACAATCCGACACAGCTGCCTCGCCGTCGCGAGAGTTTTTTGGCACACGTCAGCGTGACAGAGCAAGTCGGACATAACTCAGGACACTTTTCTAACCGGCATGCATCTCGCGGTGATCACCGGTGATCGGTTCTGCGCAGATTTTGCTCATCTCAAACAAGCCTAATTACATGCGCTGTACGAAAGAGTACTGATCGTTCTGTCCTGCAAGGTCATAGGACGTGGCCTTGCCGCCGGTGTTGCCAAATCTCGATAGAAAAACAAGCCCAAAATGTGCAATGTCTTTTCAATAATAAATAAGCGAGTGAATTATGCGAATACTCTTAACAAATCGCAACCCACCACAGCTTTTATTTGTAAGGGACTTTATTAAATGACAATCCACAAGTCAATTACAAGAGGACATGGCAACACTGCTGTCCGGCTACAGTCAGCCAATGAGATGCGCCGCTCTGAAATGCAGCGCTCTGATTGGTTACTGCCAGTTTACGTTTCCCTTTGGAATTAAATCTACTGCAGTGTTTGTAATAACTTGCATTTGTTTACTACATACATTTTTAAAAAAAGTTTCTGTTAGATCTTGTAATATGATCACATTTGAGTGTAAACTAATTCAGAATCACAGTTCATCAAGACAGAGTGTCACAATAATGACCATTTAAAAAAAGGAGGGTGACAAATGACGTAGCCCTATATAATGTTGGTTTCTAATCGGTTCTTTTAATTGAACGTATGATGTTCTGGACATTTTTAAACAATGTTTTTAGCGAAGCACTTCCGCAGTATTTCCGTGACCCCGCACTGCTGTTTCTGAGAGGAGAAAGTTGGTTGGTCAGAGAGGAAAACACGTCGCTGTTCCGGAACAAGCTCCAGCAGCTCCCCGACAGCATCTTCCAGTCCTCAGAGTAAGACACCTCTAATCTACTTTCACATTCGCTTTGCATTTATAATACTATAATGCCAGGGAACCACGTCCTCTGACGTGTTCCTAAACTCCTAAATCATGTCTAAAAGCGACGTTTTTTCGAAGCAAAGACATAACGTCAAGCGTCTGCTATACACATTACACATAGAGGAGAACGTCGCTGCGAAGTAAGCTAAGGGCGAAAATGCTGCAATAACGCGTACAGTCCGTACTAAATGATACCACTGTAGCGTTAGCCATCAACATTTCATCTCTTAGAATATGGTACAATAAAAACGTTCCATTCTCCCCCGCCTAAAGTTAACAAAACGGACCCTAAAAATCTTAGAAATGATCCTAAGACACAACCAGAATCGGGTGGACGTGATCGAGGAAGTGCGACTGGATTGTAATGTGACGTGTTGAATAATGACGGACCAAAGGGGCTGAGCACAAATGTATTTCCCACATATACACTCAGAGAGATACACGTAATTACTCCACCTTGTAATATAACACACCGTCTCTTTTGAGCAATAAATACACGCGCGAGTAAAGGTCGACGAGCCGTTCATTTATTCACCCTGCGTTACTCGATAGTCAGTGGGAGGAGAGAGAGGGAGAGGGAGGGAGAGAGAGGGAGAGGTGGTTCATTTTAAAGCGCGTGAACGCCAGAGGAAAGCACTCTTGAACAGAATGAGAGAATCGATCAGCTGACCTTCTGTCTCATTATTACTACTACCAATAAGCATCAAATCCCGTCAGGACTCTCTCTCTCTGTGTTGCTGGTTTTCCCATGATTTAAACGGGATTGGGGGAAAAGGGATTATTGTTGTAATATTTAAACGAACTGCATTTTATAGAGTTTAGAGGACAGAAACTATGTCGCTTTACGTTGAAGGTAAGAATGTTCATAAGTCCTGGTTTTGCTGTTTTATATTTGCTTATTATATTGGTTCTCTGGATATATCTTAATTAATTAGATGAGACTTACTGGTATCTAGTGATCAAACTGGATCTTACTGCACCATGTACAAGCTGTCAGTTGAATTCTGATGAGAGTGAGAGCTGAATGGACCCCTCAGTTACTGCTGACTGATACACTGGGAAAGTTGCAGAAATGGAAGGGTTTATAGAGAGTATTTTGAAAAACTCCAAACCTTACCAGACTGTCGGTCCATTCCTCGCTTTGGTTTGGCTGTCCGAGGTCTGGTTCGCTGACAGCTATTCATCTGGCCTGACAGTGTCTGTAATTTGAAGAGATTTTACATTAAACACGATTACAGGGGATACTTACTGAAGTTCTGTGACTGTTTGCGTTCAGCAGTGTTTAGGATGTACAGTGGGGTCCAAAAGTATGAGGTCACATTGAAAATCCAGGATTTGAAATCTAATTTAAATCTGGAAATTAAAAAAAAAAAGTTTTAGGACTTTGAAAATAATACAACGAAACATTGTGGCATACACTGTTCAAACATTTGGGCTTAGTAAGATTCGTTAATGGTTTTTAGTTTCCACAAAGGCTGCATTTATTTGTTCAAAAATACATTTAAAAACATAATACTATGAAATGTTATCTATTTAAATATATGTCAAAACGTTTTTCAGCAATAGTGTAAATCAGTGTTTCCCAACCGGGGTGCCGTCTGTCGAGAGCAGGGGTGCCGTGTAAAAAAAATCATTTTTTAATATTTTTAAATATTAATATCTATTATCAGCTATTATATAATATCCATTTCTGATGTCGCCAATAATTAGAGATGCACTGAAATTCCGGCTGCCGAAAATGAGTTCACCGCTCAGGTTTCACTTTCACATGGTGTGACGCTCTGCGTATTATCCCGCTCTATGCGTGTGCGCTCCGCTCAGTCGCTCACGGCCGATGTGAGTGATCCACTCGTATACCGTTCATGCTCATCGGAACAGCAAAGTCCACTCAAAAAATGAGCCGACAGGAAACATCGATGTAGTACAGTATTGTTTCTGTCTGCAATAGCCCTACTGTGTTGTAACAAGGTGTGGTAAATGGGCAACTCTGGTAACGCTGCCCTCTCATTCATTGATCTGCTAACCGGTATGCTCATGTGTCCTCTGATAATAATAGCTTTCTAGGATTAAACATTATTTGGATAATTGGTAAAAAAAAAAAAAAAAATCTCTTAATAGCCCTACTGTGTGTTAGACCTACCTGAAAAAAAAAAAAAAAATTATTTCATTTGTAGGCCTATCGTGATTTTTTTTTATTTGTGCTATCATTAGTAATTTCTTTATTTGTTCTTATTTTATTACTGACTGCTTACTTGTCATTTTTTATTCAATTCAAAGTTTTAAATCAAGCTATCTCGTGCTACTGCAACAAAATAACCCAGCTGTAAAATCAAAACTTTGTTTAATTACCATTATAACTAGCTATCTCACAATGTTTACATATGAATAAAAGCCTACATTAAAATCTATCATATAAATTGGTCTCTTCATTAGAAATTAGCCTACTGATTGCCACCATTGATAGACACATTTCTTTTTATAATATAAAAAATATCTGTATGACATTATATTCTGCAGTTCTTCCCTGCTGTACCGAATATCTATACTTTTCAAATTATCATATCGAAGTTAGAAATTCAAATATTGTGACAAAATTAATTTTGTAGGGTGCCACAAATTTGTTAAAATTTCCAAAGGGTGCCGCGACTAAAGAAAGGTTGGGAAACACTGATTTAGAAGACGAAAACCAAACAAAGTTAAGTCTGACACAGAGAAAGGGACCGATGGCCGGCCAGCCGGGGTTCGTCTTTATTTAAATTTATGTGTGTGTACTTCTAACATGTTTGGTTGGTAAAATAAATGTTGTAAATTCAAATCAGAGCGTCTTCCGTGTCTGGAATGGATGTATTCTTGAGTCTATAAGGTAACAATAATATAATAAGATAACCTTGTTTGAAATGGGTTTGGCTAAAAGAAAATTTTGGTTTCGTCTATACTACTAGGTACTTATACTATATTGACTGGGTTAAATAGAATTGCATTTCTAAAAAGAGACTAAAATACAATTTTCATTGACTAAAACTAGACTAAATGTCATCAGTTTTCGTCGACTTTAATTACCATTATAACTAGCTATCTCACAATGTTTACATATGAATAAGAGCCCACATTAAAGTCTGTCATATAAATTGGTCTCTTCATTAGAAATTAGCCTACTGATTGCCACCATTGATGGACAAATTTTTTTTATAATATCAAAAATATCTGTATGACAGTATATTCTGCAGTTCTTCCCTGCTGTACCGAATATCTATACTTTTCAAAGTATCATATCGAAGTTAGAAATTCAAATATTGTGACAAAATTAATTTTGTAGGGTGCCACAAATTTGTTAACATTTCCAAAGGGTGCCGCGACTAAAGAAAGGTTGGGAAACACTGGTGTAAATCATTAAGAGGATTCTGCTCCATTTATGAGTCACTATCAAATAAACCAGTTTGTGAAACTGATCATGTGAACTCCTTTGTACACTTTGTTCTTTCTTCCTCAATATGCTCTTTGGATCATTCTCAAGTCATGCTGGAGAACAGGATCATCTCATTTAACACTTTTAAACGTGCAGTTTGAGCTTGAGCGCTAACTAAGGTCATTAAAGCAAAAGAGTGACATATAAATGTACATTTTCAGTAAAATTCTTATGCTAATAAAATTATTTGTAATAAAAGCATTGAAGCATGGAGCATTTTCACCAGTGGTTTCAGACTTTTGGACCCCACTGTATTTAGTCCTTCTGTGCAGTGTCCGGTTGCCCTTTGACCCATGTGGAACACGTCTAATGACAGCAGCTTTTTGAGAGTTTATGGCTCTAAAGTAGCTGAGCACTCTTCTTTTCCATGTTTTCTTTGCTGTGAATGAAGAACACCTTTCTACACACATATAGAAATGATCTGTATATGTGTCGGTAGAATAATTTGAAAATGGCATGCAACAATATACACTGCAAAACACTGCAAAAGGCACCATTCTGAGAGACTAGAAATGTGCAAATGTAGAGCTGTTTACTGAGCTATTTCTACCTGAACTCACCCTTAAAAGTTACTCTTGTTGGTTTAACCTAATGTCAGGTTGATTCAGTAGTATGAGTTTTATTTTATTAGTATTAAATATTTTTGACTTGTGTAAAACCAATGAATTCAGATTTTTAGCACATAAAGTACATCTGAAAAAGTACATAAAGTTATCTGACGATTTTTGTTTTACAGTGTACCTTTACAAAATACTCCCAAGGTGTAACTGTGCTAGTAGTATCATAGTTCTTGCATCACTCCATTCTTTCTTCTCAAATGAGAACATGTATTGAAACGCAAATCAATATTTTATGTCCTTTTATTTATTTAGTTGGTAATTAGCTGTGTAAATGGAATAATGTACAGTCAGCCGGTCTTCAATACAAAATAACCTCTGCTCATCCTGTTAGCTGACTGTGCATTATCACTGCCTTTTTTAACTCCGGTTCCTCCAGAGGGACATATCTGTATTGTGAATCACTGTGAATAACAGTGTCTGCTCAGGGACTAAATAACTGACCAACAGCCCAATAAACTATAAATTAAAGTCAAGCCACTGTTTATATTTATTTGTAGGTAGTAAGGCTGGTGTGTTAGACAATGTAAGAGCTTGTTGCACTGGACAGTGCTTTCAGCATTCAAAATCACAAATACAAATTCTGAGAAAAACAGAAGTGGTTTAATTTTTAAAGTGCCAGCTAGGGGGCGATATATAGGCAAAAATTCATATCTGTATTTTTTGGCCGATTTGCGATATACGGTATATATCTCGGTATTTTTGTTTTTGTAATATTTAATATACAGTATATTTCACATACCACCCAATGTTGTCCAACAAAACAATACGTATTAAAGGCTCTGAAAACAAATGAAGTTAATGTAACCGTGTAAGCCTATATGATGTGCAAAAAAGGGTTAAAACTACATTTCATTCTAACATTATAACATTGCAATCTAAAAACAAAAATAATGCTTTTAAAGCAGATGTCAAATTTACTAAACTAAAAATGAAAATGAATAAAAGCAAAAGCACAGACTTGTATTAGTCTATTTTGATTAGGCTACCTTATTACAGTTAGTGCTATCATATAAATACACTTACTTGTAGGTTTAAAATTCTACATATGTCACATTTATTGTCCAACTACAAATATTTCAGCGAAATTAATATTTTAGTCAGAGTTATTGCGCTCCTATTTCATTGAGCTCCGTCTGTTTGGCGGCGCTCGTTCCAAACGAAGTCTGTGAAGTTTAGCGGAGAATCGCAAAGCAGAAGGCTCATGCACTTCTGACAGCAAAATGGAAATATTTCCATGACTTTCTAACATTTACAGACGGAGGATATACATGTGAAATGTAAGTTATGCATTAAGGAAAACAGCACATCTCAAGCACATTAAACAGCGCGTCTCTGTCAGGGGCACACGCAGCCTTTCTGTCAGAGCCGCTTTAAACTGAAACTATCAACTATCTTATGAATTTTTTTTTTAAGCCCTTAATATAAAGCTTGTCACATGTTTAGAACAAACTGGATTATGCACTTTCTCCGCAGCAGCTCAGTCCTCCGTTATATTTTTCAGTTGCGCTCGTATCAAACTACTGTATATCGATATAAACAGTATTGCTTCATACCATATCGCTTATAAAGAATATATTGATATACCATACAAACTCGATATACCGCCCGGCCCTAGTGCCAGCTGACACTGTCATTTACTGGATTTTAAGTGTCGCATGCCTGGAAGAATGTTAGCAGATACATTTTTGGCACACTGGCAGGAGAATGAATTAAATGGGTGCATACCAATGAAATGTGGTCGAGCAGGATTCAATCAGGTAGTCAAAGCTGTGGCACACAAGGAAGCGCACTTGCTCGTGACATAAGAGCTGTTGTCTTAAGGACATTTTTAAATATTTTTTAAGGAAATGTATTTAAAGTTTCAACACACCGACTTCATTGATACTATTGAAACTATCAAAATAACAGTTTGGGAATTATGTAGGGACCTATATATTTTAGTGTCTTGGTCAATTTATATTTGTCTACAAAACAAGTATTCAAGTAGCTTCAAGTATTTAAGCATAAGACATTAGATCAAAAGGTTTTTAATGCTTAAGAGAAACATAAATTCAATCACTTTTGACCTGTACTGGTAGGTTGTTCATCAGCCTGCTACAGATTTCTTGCTGGAAAACTGCTCACTGAACTGTCTTTTAAGAAGGTCAGGAAGTTTTTCTTTTATTGTAAAGTTAATGTGAAAACTTTTAAAATTAAGGTTTTGGTTTTAATCGTAGGTCTGAGTAAAGGGTTACAGAGCAACACCAACAGGATGGCTCAGTTTCAGGAAGTGATGCGACAGCAGCTGGAGAGCTCTATGTACGCCGAACTGGAAAAACTCGTGAGCACAGCCAAAGGCGCAGAAGCTGAGGTGAGATGCAAGCTCACAAACAATTAAACACATTTTTAAAAATTCAGCTAACTGATTTACCTTTTTATTACAATAATGATTTATGTACACTACCATTCAAAAGTTTGGAGTCTGTGTGATTTTTTTCAATGTTTTTAAAAGAAGTCTTGTACAATAAAAACAGTAATATTGTGTAATATTATTATGATTTAAAATAACTATTTTCTATTTTAATATATTTTAAAATGTAATTTATTCCTGAGATGGCAAAGCTGAATTTTTAGCAGCCATTACTCCAGTCTTCAGTGTCACATGATCCTTAAGGCTAATATGCTGATTTTGCGCTCAAGAAATATTTCTTATTGAGGAAACCATAATATATTTTCAGGATTCTTTGATGAATTGAAAGTTCAATATGACAGCATTTGTCACTTTCAAAAAATAAATCTTACTGACCTCAAACTGTTGAATGGTAGTGTAGATCAGGAACATATAATGGTTTCAGCATCATGCAAAAGTTTTTAGTTACTTATATGATTGTAGAAATGATCTATTCATCGTCAGCCATGATTCCTCAACTTATTCCACAAGTGAAAGGAGGATGTACTTGGGGGATTACTGAGATAAAGCGAGTAGTTTTTGGTTGGTAATGTGATCTCAACATGTCAGATCAGGAGGCGATCCTGCTCCATGTAAAACAAAACTGTTCTTATTAGACTGCTGTCATGACTGGAATTTTATTCTCAAGTGAGCGTACATCATTTTAAACACATTTTTCGAAAAGTACACTAATTTCTTTATGTGTAGAACTTGTTAATGAGATGAACAATTTCTGCATGCACTTTTAATTAGAAATAGAACTCATAATTTATTCGTTATAGTCTCTCAGTCTCAGTGCACATTAGAATGAAGAAGGGAGCAAAGATAAAAAATGAGAGGGACCTTCTTTAGGTGCCATCTGAGTGCAGCAGCTGCTGAATGACGTGCCAGTGTGACAGGAGAGATTTCATTGCACTGCTGAGCTGATGTTTAATTAGTCTCACCATGAGACTAGCTTCGACATGATGCATCTTCTCTCTTCAGCCCCTACCCACTTCCTTCTGTTCATTTTTTCCCCCTTCCTTCATTTTCCTTTTTTCACCAAATGTCTCCGTTTTGAGTCAATTTGAGAAGGTCAGAAAGCAAAACTCTGAGCTGCTTGGCGATCCCCCCCAGTATTTCCTCAGCACCATATGGTAATAATCAGGCTTAGCCGTCATCACAGTGACACATACTGACCGCTTGTGTCCCTCCCTCTCCATTACACACAGACTCCCGTAATCCCACCCAAACATTTACTGCCAAATGACGTACTAAAATCCACACCCTGCTAGCTCAAATAAAGTATGATAAGGAGATGTGAAGATGTCGTCAGATTACAGTTTACATAGTTGCACCTCTTTTATGAAGACATCCACATGTATGCCTATAAACTGTCACTCTACCATCTATTGTAGCCAAGTAGAGATATTGTAGTTAAGTAGAGATGTCAAAAGCACCGTTACTTCATCCACACATGGATTCTAAAGTAAAGTAACATTATCTGTACCGTTTTCTGATTCATAAGCGGCTGCTTTTGACTCTCACATGAATATTTGTGTGTGCACTGTGAATCAAATCGTAACAATTGCACTTCTTGGTCAAAATGCTAGGTGAATTAAATATAAACCTAGTCAGTTAAGTTAATGTAAAAAGCCAGGGGGAAAAAATGGATATGTGTCAAAATACTAGATCTGTGGATTAGCCAGACAGTGAAATACATTCTTATAGACCTGTTGCTGTTTTATTATTAAAATATTAATTTTATTTCGATATTCAATCAATATTATTTGTTTGATTAATATAAATTTATTTCTGTAATATAAATGTATGTACATGTAAATATATGTTTACTACTGTTCAAAAGTTTGGGGTCAGTAAGATTATTTTAATTGTTTATTAAATAAGTCTCTTATGCTCATAAAGGCTGCGTTTATTTGAAGAAAAATACAGTAAAAACAGTAATATTGTGAAATATAATTACAATTTATACATTTTTTATATATTTTGACATGTATTTCTTTGATAGCTGAATTTTCAGCAGCCATTACTCCAGTCTTCACTGTCATGATCCTTCAATTATGATCTGATTTGTATATTTATTTTGATTATATTACATTGTTATCATCTTTTTCAAAATAGTTTTTAAATAAAGGTTAGTTTTACTTAAATAGTTTTGGTTTTGGGAATCAATACATTTCACTGGCAATGGGATCAACTACGGAAATGTCAGTATTGTGACAACCCTAAATCTATATTATTTGCTAAATGCATTTCATTAAGTGCCACTTAATACTACTTAAGTGTTAACTGTTTTTCTCTTTGGTCAATATTGCCTCACAAGCTTCTTTCCAGGTTTATTTATCAAAGTTGCACTTTGATTAGAGTGCAGAGTTATTGAACTTTAAATTCTCAGCAGGCACAGGGAGTTTATGGATTTTCATCAAACAGGTTTTATTTTTAATGATGTGCACAGTGAGAGGCCTGAGGACCCAGTGATCTTTCACAGCAGGGTGTTAATTATTTCACAAGCCTTTAGGAGTTTTAATTGCCAGACTATACAGAACAAGATTAGAAAGTTATGCTGGCAGGTTGTTTTTTATGTTGAAAAAATGTGGGTTTTTTTGTTTTGTTTTGCAGACTAGAATCATAACAAATGTGTGATTCAGTGGAGGAAGGTGACAGCCGATGCCCTTTAAAAATGTTAATGTAAAAAATCTAAGAAAAAAAAAAAACTAAAATATTTAAAGGCAAATGTAAAAGTTTAAGTACTGATGATTAAAAATGCATATTGACTGACCGCTATTATAAAAATGTCTTGGATAGGCCTAGTGATGCATAATCTGCCAAAATATCTAGAGGTTGAGTTTAAATGACTGAAAATTATTGGTTTCTCAGAAGGCGAAAAAGTAAGGACCTTCCTCAATAATAAATGTTTGGCTGCTCTCTTCCTCAGGTGTCTAAGAAGGACTTTGAAGGCTTTAGGAAGTTATTCCACCGATTTCTGCAGGTGAAGGGACCTTCAGTAGAGTGGTCAAAAATCAACAGGCCCCCTGAGGACTCGGTAAGATAAGCAACACAGGCCTAATTCTTACACTCACTCATATTACACTCATATTATTAATTTAATTTGATTGTAGACCTATAAACTGAATATGCAGAGAAAGTAAAGCTTAATGTATCTATACACACTTCAAGCATTAAAACAGACAGATGGGCAGTACTCAGTCAGAACCTCTGCTTTGAGTCTCATGTGTGGGCATTAGTGTTGCCTTAGGCTCTGGGAATTAGCCAGCTGTGATTAAAAGCTGCCCACATTCCAGCATGAATGAATGCGCATGACATTCATACACTTCTAGTATTCAAAGTTTATGGGTCCAGTTAGAGTTACAGTATTAACCTGTAGATAGACCTAGTATGAATGATTGTGTGTGTGCAAGGAAAATTATAAATAAAGCTTCAAAATTGATTTGTCTGTGGGCAAGGGAGGGTGTAAGGGAAGACACACCATGAACAAAAGTGTCTCCTAATTTGATTTGGCTGTGTTGTGTTTGTGTTTCACATAAAGTATCCAGTGTCAGTCTGCTTTCCTATGGGTCTGTGATGATTATGCAATGTTCTCTAAGAACTAGGGGTGCTCCGATCAGGATTTTTGAGGCCGATCACCAATCGCTGATCACAGGCCATCTCACGATCTCGGCACTGCAGCAGATGCACCGCTCCTGAATGCACCGCAAACGGAGTAATGTGAACCTGCCGTTATGTGTGTGTGCTGCGAGCAGTAGCCCCTCACTGCATAACACAAGATCCAGGGGATCCACATCTAGGGGGTGGATATTGGTAGGTTTAGGGGTTGAGATGGGTGGGTTTAGGGATCAGGGGGTGGAGACGGGTAGGTACGCGGTGATTCACTCACGCTGTTTGAGAAATTACATCTCACAAGGTATTCAAATTACTTTATTAAAAGTTATTATTATTAAAATTAAAAGTTATTTAAAGGGGTGGTTCATTGCGATTTCACTTTTTTAACGTTAGCCTGAATACTGTTCCTTACGTCCCCCTGCTCTGCACACGCTCTGCATCTCTCCCTCTCTCTCTCTCTCTCTCATTCAGCTCACCTCCAACAATGAACTATATTAACGATGCCGTTGTTTACAATACAACCGGAGCACATGCCGCTGAGGCGAGAGGCGGGACGCTTAGACGCGCACTAGAGGTGGTTTAGCCAATCACAACACACTGGACTAGCTAACCAATCAGAGCCCATCGCCTATTTCTGAGGGAATGGAAATGATCAGCGTGTTTCTCAGAGAAGGGACAGAGCGGTGTGGAATAAAGGTAAATTATGTGAAAAAGAATGCGTTTTTAAAAAAACGAAGCATTAGCACATGTTAGACTGCACCCCATAAACACAATCAAGCCTAGAAAAAAAACAGTGAACCACCCCTTTAATGAAGAAATATGAAGGTGAGTACCTCACCTTCAGCATTATAGCCTAATTATTTCACCCGCGCTGGACAGAGACTGAGATGGTGCCACTGCATGTCATGCCAAACCTCTCACGGCAGCGTCATCAGCTTGAGTGAGATCAGCCTTTTCAGAGACCGCCGATCAATCATCCCAACACGATTATCGGCCGATAGTGATCGGTAGCCGATCAATCGGAGCACCCCTACTAAGAACCAGAAACCAGAAATGAGGAACCACATGCTGACTGTACTATGAAACTGCGTGTGGAATGTTTGATACTATAGTCTGCACCATATAGCCAGGTTATCTGAGCAGGATATTAAATGCCTTGCTCCAGAAATTACTGTTTTAACCACACTTACAAGACAAGCACTGAAACCAAGCTCCCTCCAACTCCTTCCAGACTTAAAAGAGTGAAGTTGACAGACCTTTGTGTGTATGTGTGTGTGCATGTAAATTTAAGGATATTTGGAGAAGGTGAGGTTGTTACATAGAAGAGAAATTCCTGCAGTTCTGCATTATGTACAGTAAATGCTGTAATATGTTTGGCTGGGACGTTGGGACTTTAGGGATGGGCTGTCTGTGTTTTCTCTCATTGTAACTTAAGGGTGTGTCATTGAGTGTATCCACATGTAAAACTTTATTTGACAAAAAATGCTAATTCACTGTAAACATCTGCTGGGTGTATAAAGGCTAACCAGTCCTCGTCTGTTGCCACATAATGTCTGGATCCTGCGACATCACGTCTTATGTTTGCTGTAATAATGACAAGTGTTGTCCCAGTAGATATATTATACCCAAGATAAGTGGCTGATTGACTTGTTTGTGGTATAAAAAGGTAATTATTGGAACTTTTATCAGGAACGTTTTACCCACATTTTATGTTGAGTTCATCATGACATTTCACGTCCTTTCTCTCCCACCCAAGCCCACTTCAAAATCCTGATTAGCTCAGCAGCTTTTTTTTTAAATACATATAAAAAATACATTTATTTGTTTTTATAAATTGTATATAGAATATGTGAACTGCTTTAATATAAAATGGTTTTACATTAGCATCAGAAAAATACATTTAGATTTTTATATTATCCAATTTACAACAACTATATAAAAAATGTACAACAATTAATTTATTATGATTGCAATTTTCAGTAATATATAATGTAACCCAGTAATAACTGTATTCATATCAAACACTTAAGCAGGAAAATTATATATATTTAAAAACATTACTTAATTTTTTTTATAGTTTTCATCCCATTCTAACTTTCCAAGACGATCACAAGACATTCTTGGTGACATATTTAAATCAGCAAAATCACTAACAACTGTGTTCAATCACAGAAAAAAAAAGTTTCTGTTTGCAAGACATAAATAGGCTACATTGTTGACAAAGGTAAGCTGTATTGAGAATGCTGCACTGGTCCCAGGGCATCATATTTTCGAGCACTATGTGCTGGGAAAGAATTCCTAAATAAAGTGTTTCATAATTTTCAAGGTTTCAGAAGGTTTCAGAAACCTTCTAGTTCAAGACTTCTCGCCTCAGTTCATTACAGTAAATAAATACTCCAGAATCCAGATTTAAAAATGCTCTGCATACTAATTAATGTTCTCAATGTAATTTTTAGCCTCTTATTACCTCTATGAACCTTTAAATACTGCCATCAGCCTCTCTTTCTGCAAGATGGAGAAGCTCTTCTAATGTGCTTATGATGCAATCAGACTTGGAATTGTGGCTTTCTGACTGCGCTAATGAGACTGTGGTCTTGTGATGCTGTGGGATCTTTGAGAGGTTTTATTTTTGTGGTGTGTGTGATCATGAATGTGTGAACCGGTATTGTTGAGTTTTAAGCAACTGGAATGTGGCTGACCCAGAAACAATGTTTAAACAATCTGATTCAACCTGTGCACCAGGTTTAGATAAAGGATTCCTACCCTTGATTTGAAGCTCTGGGCCCGTATTTATCAAGTCTCTGAGAATTACTCTCAAGAACGTTGCTAAGAATTGACTTAAGTGTAAAAAAATTCTTGGCTCAAAGCTGTGCTTAAAAGTTAGTTATCAAGCGTCTCAGTCGTAATTTAAGTGAAGTGTAGGACTAAATCTTAAGTGTCAGTCTTAGAGTTGATTCATGACACTTTGCTGTGGCACAAAGGGATTTTGGATGACGAAATATGCATGGACCAATCACTGAATAGACTTCCTTATTTTAAGAATATTCTCAGATAAATTCACATTGAATGGTTAAATTCCTAATAGGAGTTTACATTCAACACACATTTGACAATAAAGAATTTTCAAGAGAATACATTATGGTAAGGAAACAAATCCAATAATCCCCAGCTGCAGAACCCTTACGTCACAGCTATGCTTAGTAAGAAAACTTTTGCTCCGCCCACTTCCGGCTTGACGCTGATGGCCTGGCGCTGCTGTCCTGATACTGCTGTGAGTCTGTGACATAAGGGTTCTGCAGCTGGATGTATCTCGGTGAGTAGCCGTGATCAGCTCTGGTAACTCGCCGCAGACGTGTGCAGTGTAAATAAGGGGTAAGAGATTTATTCATGATACAGTGTAGGTAGCTTCACTGATTATAACGGGAGTGTTTTTAAA